CCCGCTGCAGAAAGGTAATTAGGGAATACGTCACCATTTAGTCTCTTCGGGAGTGTTGGGCAGGAGAGCTGGGCGGACAGCTCACACTTCCTAGCAGCGGGTGAATGAATCTCTAATGTGGCTGCACAGGGCAGCAGTTGAAGTATTTGCTGGATCCTACTGATGAAGGTGTGTGGCTGGACAGGTGAATTTCAGGGCAGTGTTGATAAAGACAACAGTATTCCTTTCTTTCCTTGGAAGATGTTGGCTGAAAAAGCTTATGGACTTCGTAGGCTGCTGTCTTGCACATTCAGAAAAGTTTTAGGTGAACAAGTTGCTGGATGTTTAAAAGGCATAAAACCAAATTGTAATCCTTGATCTTATGAAGCTTCTTGAGAATGAGCTGAAGCAACCTTACGTGCTACCCTTAATAGAGTTACCATCTGCGCTTTTCTTGCGTGCTGTCACCTGAATACGGATTCGGTTGGAAGCAACAGAGAACTCGTTGGAAGAACTCACTGCCATGCAAGCCATTCAAAGGGCAAAAGTTTTGTGTTCCTCTCCGAGTTTGCCAATAGCCATAACGGGAGAATCCTCAGGCCCCGCAGGGGGATGGAGCAGGGAAAACTTTCTGCTTCTGCACCATCTGTTCTGGGGGGGAAATGGAAGCATAGAAATGCATTTCCCAGTCTCCTGAATGTCTGCAGAGCCCCTTACGTCTGGTGCCAGTGAGCCGAGGCAGCACAGTTATCAGGGCGCAGCACTGAAGCTACAAGGCGGCTTGCGCAACTTTAGCCACAACAATGAATTCTCATGCAATATTCCGGGAACTGCCGGTTCCCCAGCAGAGATTTCTGCTAGTCAGTGAAATTCCTCTTGAATGCTTGTAGCTGCCATAGCTTTAGGTTCTTACTGTGATGTGATACCACAGTTTGCCTGTATGGAGAAACGAGTAGGAAGTCAAATTCTGTTGTCAGGAGAAGTTGAAGTTGCCAGCAGTGAACTTTGCATTCCGTAGAGCAAATTGAACTTACTGAGGGGACAAAGCTGCTTATGAAAGACGCACAATTCGTTTTCAGTCTCTAATCTCCAGATATGTTTTGCTAACATCTGACTGGCATGTAGGAAAGAAATGTAGTTCTGATGGATTGTCCAGGTGTCATGAGTTGAGGAGGTTTGTTAGTCACTAGGTGGCGATGTTGATTCACGTTTAAATCAAAGATTTTTTTGTTACCGTTTTTGCAAAAACAAGAGCTGTTTTCGAAATGTACATGTGTCAGCACCATGGAACAGAATTCAGGCTTGAAGAACATGAACGCTTCAGTGTGCAAAATGTATTGAAATCGCTTTTTTTCACTAAAATGTGTAATGCAGCACCGTAACTGTGATAAGAGAGGTCAGTGCTGAAATGCTCCTTTCCTTCTGGTTTGCTGTTTCATTTCCTTCCTAGCGTACTGCCTGTCCCCCCCTCCCTGGGGCTGCAGCATTCCAGTGGGCTGGATTTCTGGTTTCCTGGACAGCTTGTGTTGATTCATAAGCTGAAAATCTGCTGAGTAGCTTTGTGCTCTTCTTAGAAGTCTTGAACAACTTTAGGATTTGAAGTCGAGGGTGAGGAATTTGGAGAGCAGGATGTGGTGTTCTCACAGCATCAGCTGCACTGGTTCATATTCCGGCTATCTTGTCTCTCTCCAGAATGAAGAATTTCAGTTAATGCTCTCGCTTGCAGGAAACTGTTGCCCTTAGGGAGGAAAAGGCTAATCTGGGGAGCTCTGCAGAGGTTGGAGAGGATGCACTGGCTTTGCTAACAGTGCCTCTGGCAGCCTCGGTGGTGGTGATGACTGATCCTGGAAGGAGTCCCGCTCCGGTTGGAAAGCCTGCGCTTGCATAGCTGAACCTAAAGTGAGGGGAAGTGTGGAAAGGGAAAGGTCAAAATGTGTCTCTCGTGAAACCTTAAGGCTCTTTGAGGGTGGGGAGAGGAAGACCAGATGGTGGACCTGTTGTGTTTCTCTGCTCCATCACCTGGATCCTTTGTCTTGCTTTGAGAGTTCATGTTGATACTCCCAGGTTTTCCTTTAAATCTTGCAGAGGGGTTGATTCATATTTGGGCCAGCTATGGATGTGTTGTAAAGTAATGATAGGAACCAGCTGGCAACCTTCTTTTTGGCTGTATGTCTGTATGCTCGATACCAAGTAGAACTCAGGTCACACCCAGGTCACTGTTCGTGCGTCTCACCTGTAGTTTCAGTCCTTTGCACCTTACAGGGACCAAAACATGACTAATTGTAACCTGAGCAATGGGCAGAGCTGCCGGTCAGTGACTCAACGGCTGCACGGAGAGCATGCAGATGAGCCTGCACCATCTGCCGGGGCCACTGTGGCTCCAGCTGCGTGGTGTGAAGCTTGGCTCCGAGTTGTGTGGCCAGGGCTTGAATCTTAATGTCGCAAACGACGGGGTGTAAGAAAATTATCCAAGGAAAAACCTTGCCCAAGCCACCCTCTAGTTGCGTTCAGTGCATGTGCAGTCTGAGCAGGTACTGAGGGAGAGGCAGCTTTTGCTCAGACCTATCTGTCTTTTGAGGTTTTGCTCTTTAACAGGTTTCTGACCATGTGTGGGGCCAGACTTCCCAGGGGCAGGAGGGTCTTACTCTCTGTAGGAATCCCTGTATGGAAGCAGTGCTTGAATTTCTTGTCTTAACAATGGCGTGACTCTCCTCCCTGTGCTCTGTCACAGCAAACTAAAGCTGGCAATTTGGGTAAAACCAGGAAAGGCGTGTGTTGCTTTTTGACTTGTACAGCACTGGGAAGCGAGCGTGCACTTTTGCAAGGTGGGGGAAGTACTGTTTCCCGCTAGAAAAGGAAGTCCATCCTCTCAGCCCCAGCCTCCCTCCTCCCAAGCCCCGGCATTGTCGGAGAAGACAAGGCTTTTGTTCCTGAGCTTCTTGCTGCTCTCCGTGTTGTGGGTGGGGGAGATGGTCTCCCCTCTTTGCAGTCTCAGCACAAAGCACTGCAGGGCTTTCAGCCAGCGAAGAGTTGGGGAGGTGAAAGCTGCCGTTGCCATGGAAATGGTGTATGCAGGGAGCAGCAGCGCTGTCCCTCTGGTGCTAGAGAGCTCGAAACCCTCTGACACTCATTTCATAGCCAGGCCACATTGCAGGGACTTGCAGTTCCAAAGCTTTCCCTTAAAAAAAAAATCTCCTTTGCAAAGCTAAAGGTTTCTGTTGCTTTGTAGCGCCGAGTTGTTGTCTGCCTGGCCAAGAGGAGAGGATGGGGTATGGCTGCGTGGCGCTGAGTCGCATCATCCCCAGCCGGGGCGGCTGCTGCCCAAACTGTTAATGAGGTTGTGTTTGGGGAGCGAGTTTGCCTGCTGGGCACCTCAACTGCCGCCCTGGAAAAATGAGCGTTGATGTGCCTGGGTCGGATGGATAAAATTCTCCGCTCTTTTGCCTTTTCGTTTTCAGGTTAGGCACTCCGGCCGCAGCAATCCTGGTGTGTACCTTTTAATTTGCAGGACTACGACTTGGTGTTTTAGGCGACTTCTTTTTATGCTGCTTAGAACGTCTCGGGATTGATTTCAAGGTGCTGGCTAGGAACAGATGCACCCAGCTGCTTTTAACCTTCATTTTCTGTTGGAAGCGAGACAGGTTTAAGCTTGTACAGAGCTCTGCCCGCCAAACTGTGTCTGAACACGGCTTCTCTTAGCAGGGTGCTAACGCTGCATCCACAGCCCCTGTTAATAAACCTTCAGCTGCGTCGTACGCTTTGCGGCAACTTGGACGTGAGTGGCCTCGCTGAAAGAAACGGTTGCGTGACCAACAAGATTTCAAGTTACAGAAGGAGCCAAGGAACGTGCTGCAGTGCCTGTAATCCCTGTACCTGGGGTGGTGATGGGGCATCGGGCTCCTGGTGGTTCAGAGATGGGTAATGAGGCAGCCCCAGCCACTGATGTGGCCATTACAAAGTGTTTTATAGGGTGCAAGGGGAAACATTTGTGTAATGGAGTACCCAGCAGCAGGGGATGTGTGCAGGATGACCCAGCATTCCAAGGATGGCAGCCAACGCGTAGCACAGGGCCTGTTACTTCTGTGCCAGAGGCTGACCCGGAGCTGCCCTGCCCGACTCCAGATGCGCTGGGGTTTTAGGCTGAGGCTCTATCAAGATTTGTCGCTGGTAGAGGGGGTGTGTGCAACATGGAAAAAATGAGAAGAAAAAAAAAAAATTTGTTCTGGTTGGAGAAATTGAGCTTGTCCAAAATGCCTCAGAGTAGGATGTGCATATGGAGAATTACTTAATTCTCCTTGTTTTGCAACATGTTTTCCCAGCTGTTGAAGGCTGCTGTCTCGCTCAGCTTCCTGACAGCAGCGCAAACATTTTGAAGGTCCCATGGCCCCTTCTCGTTCTCTGTTCAGCCGTTCTCATTGCTGCTCTCTGTGTGCTTTTCCTTGAGCCTCTTTATTTAGATTTGATTGTTACTTAGAGCTTAGCCCCGCAGCTTTAGTGGCGGGCAGGGCTGAAGGTGGCACTCCCTTGTGGCAAACCCCTGGAATTTCCTTCTGGTGGCAGCGACTTTAAGGCCCAACTCCCACCTTTAAATTCCCGTCCTCCTGTGTCTGTGTGACTGCAGAATCTGTTGGGTTGAGGAAGAAAGGGCAATGCAGCGTGGACGACGTTACTGCATGTCTTACCGGGTGGTTTGGGAATGGAGCACTCGTGCCTCCATACGCTTTTGTCCAGAGGCCTGTCTCCTGCTTGTCAAGGCCGGCAGAATGGTCTTGACCATATTTTCATGACTCTGCCGTCATCATCCTCAGCGTTGCATCCCTGCAACCTCCAGCTCCGGAACTCTCGACTTTCTCCTCCAGCTCGGTGCCTTCGCTGCACCCTTTTTAAACGAGCGGCGTGCATAGGAACGCTCTCCGCTCTCGTCCTGCCAAAACCACAACAAATGGCAAGTTTCCGTCTGTCATCTCAGCTCGACTC